AATGTTTTTGCCTCTATTACAGCGAGACAATTAGTATTTAACTGATTGTTTGAACTCTTTTTGGTGTTGTTACTTTATAATATATATAATTCTTTTGTTCTTTATATTTGTTTGTTGTTCTACTCTTCATTGTTAAATTAGTAATACCTTGCATAATGCACTGTTGGATTTTGCATTTACGTTGATCTTGGGGGCAAAATTTTGGGAGTTCGCCTCGGGCCCCGAAAATCACATGACCGCCCTGAAAATGTCACATATAGAATTAGATTTAATTGCTATCGAGAGAAGTTTTTAAATAAATTTGGAATTTTGACCAACTCGCATGATAATAATGAGTCATTTTTATTGTTGTAATAAAAATGGAATAACAATGGGAATTCTACATCTTAGCAGTGCATCTCAAAAATTTGATGAACTTTTACATTGATTTCTAGTACGTGATAAATTAGAAATAGATTTATTACAAGCCATTATTTCTATTTGATTAAGGGTATTATAACTTTAACTCGATAAAACACGTAGTCCTCGTGGGTTCGACACTTAATTCACCATTATATTATTTGATTACGATTCTGTGCACTTGCGGGTTTTCAACAGGTTAATATGCCTAAAAAATATGTAATACAACAACTCTCCGGAGGCTTTGGATAATCTGGAGGCTATGTGGACAGAGATGCCTAAATTGGACAATACAATACTTTTTGCAGTGGTTACACAAGTAAAATTAAGTAGATAGCAGTTATAAAAAACTTATATGGTCAAGGAAATTATACAAAATATACATTCCGAAGGCAAGCTACTCTCAAATCAGTTTATATCTCTCTAAGTTTCGGACTTCAAGGTTCAAGCAGCAATTATACGTGTATTCAGTAATTGAATGCCATTTATGATGGAATTGCTCTTATGAAATGCACCAATCGTGGCTCATTATCAAGTTTGTTTTTGGATTGACGGGAATCTCAGGACTAGATTGCAGGGAATAAGGAGGAGTGCTATGCATTTTTCGACTCCCTTGCATCTACGGACACCCAGGTTTGAAAGTTTTCGCCTTCCAGGTTCAGTTTTTTGTTTGTTGGGCTCTGTTTCACTTAGCTGCAATGCAGGAAATGTATTATTC